TTACTCAAAAATATAATCATCCCCTTAGTATTCATTCAGAAAAACTGAAAGATGTAAAATCATTCTTGGAATGGATTCCAGCTGTTTATCACGAATGGTATATAAATTTAAAATAACCTCCTAGTACCTACCAAATTATGTTATGTTAAGTCAACACCACTTAACATGTTACGTTAAATTTTTCAAATATTTTAGGTAAATAATGTTAAGTTGTAGTACATATTTTCATATTTTCCTCAATAAACATTGTAAAAAAAATATTTGGTATTTCATATTTTGCCTCCTGATTAACAACATAATCAGCTAATTTTAGCATTATTCATAGTTTTATATTTTTTAATAAAAAATATAACAATATTTTTTTTTAAATTCAACACTTCAAAACTCAAATCTTCTTTATTGTCCCTTACCATTTTTTACTGCCGGACCCCTCAATTGATGAATTATTAGGATGCTACGATGTTGCTACTTGAAAGTAGGTTTTGTATTATTGTCACTATATTTTAAATCTATCACTAAAATTGTGTCTTCACACATTGTATCCATGCGAGTATAAAATTTTAAAGATAAAAAATATGTGCTTGTTTAACGATGAATACTCTAATTGCTTTATTTCCAGTTGTTCTTCTGTGAGTATATAAACTTTCATATACTTGATTGGTGTACAGCCCACTTGTAATAGTAGACTTACTAGCGTATGTTTTCATCTAATTCTATAAAGGACATGACTTACCACCAGAGTAGACCAAAGGATATGTTAGTAACATTTACAAAAAATTAGACAAAAAGAATTGTTCAAATTTAGGGGACAAATGTCATAAATTCACTCTGAAGACTCTATGGAAAAATAAAAAAACTGTAAAAAAATAGATGTAGCAGAACAAAATGGCAGTCACGCAGACAGATTCTCTATGGTTAGCATATTTCCCTAAAGTAGGTTATTGAGAGAAGACTAGCCGACAATATTTCATCTTATATAGTTTGTGTGTATATTTTTAATGCTCTGTGTACCAATAGAAAAAAAAAAGAAATAAACAAAAAAATATAAAAGCAGTATAATAGCTTTAAAAAATATGACAGTAAACATTAAAACTGAAAAAAAAACTAAATAAATTCCTATTAGTAAGAGTTGCTGTATAGTATCTAGACTCTTCAAAATTTATCTGAATCAGGCGCTCTTAGTGTGGAGAATAAAGTGCTTCATTATGGGCATCCCATCAAAGACGAGAAATTTTACAAAATGCATAATTATGACCAAGTTATTCTAGCTAAAAATGAAAATGATATAGACTCTATACTGAGAAAACTGAAGTAGGAGTGTACCAACTGGAGCCTTACAATTAATATACAAAAAACAGAGTACTTAGTTGCCGGAGAAAAACTAGAATCCATTTAAGTTAAAATGGGAAATATAAATAAACTAAAACCTACAAATACCTGGTACCAAATAACAAAAGTAGGGAGTAACGAAGAAAAACATTACAGGATTGGCTAAGCAAGATTAGCCACTAGATAGCTCGATTCTAAAGAAACTACCGACGAAAAGCAGTAGAATAATTTTGTATATTTACAATGTTATAAAGACATATAATATTATAAAAACAATATAAGTATGGATATATTATGTCAATAAAATCAATAGTTTGTCAACTAATACTGAGGTGCATACAAATAATCATGATTATAATTATTATTATAAAAACATACATACAATATAATCAGTGTTAATAAATACAAATATAAAATACAGTAAATAACAAAAGTAAATCATAACAACATGAGATAGAGTTCTAAAACAAAAAAATATGAATTTGCAGCAAATTTATCTAACAAGTAAACAGTACTTAAGATGGTGCAGCTACAAAATATAATATATTATGTACTTTACCATGTAGCAAAGAAGATCTAGCACATTCCTATGGCAGGGACTGTCTTTTTAACCGACAGGGACTATGATCGGAGCAAAGTATGGTAAGGTAGGACGCATTACTCTTAACTCAAATATACATCTGTGTCCTTTGGCAGATGGGACTCCTCTGGTGGAAAAATGGCAGCTTTCAATAAATTCTTTTTTCCAAGTTGAAGCTTTGTGTAGGCGATAATTACCCAAACGATCTGCACTTTTAATGAAAGCTATTCATTTTTTATCGTTCGTTGTTAACATACAATGTATAAAAAAACAGTCTTTTGTCTGAAATAATGTACTACAACCATTTATTGTTCTATAGTTTATATATTCTTGTACGCAGAATCTTGGTTAAATATACGGGGAAAATCTAAACTAACACAAAGTATGTTAATAATTTGACAAGGGTTATATATAGTTGCGAAACTGCAACAATATTAACCCCTTTTTTAGAACTCTTTCTGTCTCCTTTACTTTTGTATAAATTGTTGATGTATGCAGATTTCTATTCTGGGGGTAGACCCAGAATAGAAATGGGTACCAAAACCAAATGGACCTTAACCCCATAGTAGTCACATTACGAACCAAATTGAGGGAACCATAAAAAAAGGAACAAACTGTAAAAACTCTTACTGAAAATCTACGTAATACCCAAGAACTGAATAAAAGAAGCTATAACATTAATCAGAAATATGAAAATATAAAAGTAGCAATAATTAAAACAGCAAATGAAAACTTGAAAAAAGAAAGAAAACTTAAAGACTGAATGACTGAAAAAATACTACTATTAATGAAGGAAAGAAAATCATTCAAAACAAAAAATCCAATTAAATATAATGAAACTGATTGAATAATTAAAAAGAGAATAAAAGAAGCTAAGGAATGAGAAAAACACTTCAATCTAGGCAAGTAGAGATGAAAGTGCACTTATAACAGATATAAACCGAAAAATGCAGAGATGGTCACAATATACATAGCACAACTTATTGAAGACAAAGAGAAAACATGAGGATCAAAAGAATTTAAGTATGATACTTGGCCTGACTTATACGAGAAGAAATTGAATATGCAATGAAACAAGCTAAAGGTGGTAAATCTCCCACGCCTGATGAAGTTCCTATAGAATTACTCAACATTGTGAATACTAGATTCAGTATTCACAATTTTAATCTTTTTTTGGATCTATTCAATACCATATATAAAATAGGTATATTACCTAAAGAATGGCTCCAATCAACATTCATACTGCTTCCCAAAAAAACCAATGTAAAGGAGTGCAATAAACATCGCACCATAGCCTTAATGAGTCATGTATTGAAATTGTTTTTAAAAGTAATTCGCAATAGAATACATAAGAAATTAATTAGATGAAGGCATAAATAATACACAGATGGGACTTAGGAGAGGACTGGGAACACGAGATGCACTGTTTGCAGTAAGTGTTCTTTCGCAGATATGCTTAGATATAAATCAGGAAGTATATGCCTGTTTAATTGATTTTGAGAACTCATTTGACAGAGTGCAGCATAATCGGCTTAAAGAAATTTTATTAAATAAAAACATGGACAGTAGAGACATCAGAATCATATGTAACCTCTATTGCAACCAAACAGCAAAAGTAAAAGTTTAAAATGAACTGATCGAGGATACCCAGATTCGCCTAGGGTTCCGACAAGGGTGTATTTTATTACTCTCGTACTTTATAAGCCACTTTATAACATAAGATATGCTGACGACACCCTCCTTCTGGCAGGAACACTAGAAGAACTGCAACACTTTGCTAAACAACTAAATATATTGCAACGATTATGGACTAAAAATAAATTTGAAGAAAACCAAATTCATGGTATTTACAAAAGCACAAAACACTAAAGTTAGGCTAGTACTAGAAAATATAGAAATTGAACAAATATCTTCGTACAAATACCTTAGAGCGTGGATTACAGAAGATACTGATCAGACAAAAAAATTAGATGCCGTATTGAAATTGCACTGTCAACTTTTAATAGAATAAGAAAACTTTTTTGTAATCGCTATAGCTTTGGTCTTATATTCTCTCTACCCTTTTGTATGGGGTTGAAACTTGAACACTTATAAAATTTAACATCATGGATGGATCGCAAAACAAACGAACACGTTCTCGAACAACTAGGAAAACAATGCGAAGTTTTAAATTTCATAAAAATCAGGAAATTGGAATACTTGGGGCACATTATGAGAGGTGACAAATACGAACTACTAAGGAATATAATGCAGGGTAAAATCAAAGACAGAAGAAGCGTAGGAAGACTTAAAATCTCGTGGTACGCAATATCCGTGAATGGTTTGGATGCAGTTTAATTGAACTATTCAGGCGCGTAACCAACAAAATTATAATTGCCAGAATGATTTCCAATCTCCAATAGGAGCGGAACTTGAAGAAGGAGATTCTGGGGGTAGCTTTTTAAAGGTCGATTCAAACACATCAGTTACGTCTCGTCACAGTCCCGGCGCCGAACTGAACAATACGTCATACAAAATATTTTTTAATAGAAATATTCACATTCATTAGTTGACGAACAGTTTCCCAGCTGTCAGATAATTAATAGTTCTGTGACCAAACAGGATCGGTTCGGCGCCGGGACTGTGACGGGACTGATGTGTTTAAATCGGCATTTACTCTCAAAAATAAATTAAAGGTATAAGTCGTGAACAGAAATAGTTTGTAAGTGCCATATTTAATTAGTTCAATGGGAGGACCCCCTGGTTCTGGAGCCTTATTATTTTTCATAACGTTGGAGTGTTTTTTAATAATTTCTTCTGGTGTTATTTTAGTTTCGTCGCGGTAGGAATTATCATATTTTTCGTAGCTAATATTACGGAATTTGGCTCGATTTTATGTCAAAATTTGTTCATAATATTCGACCCAACCGCTTAATTTATATGCTAAAAATAAATCAGTTAGTAGAGATTAACACTTATTCCAGAACACGATATATTTCTAATATAATTATACTCCTGACGTCTCCATAATGTACTTGATACATCCTATCATGAAAAGGTAAAACCGTAAGATGTCATAAGGAATTTTATGAATGATACACAATGTGGTCACCGCCCGGTGCATTTCTATAATCATCGAAGTCTGCCATGAACAGTTGAGGTTTATTCTTAGGAAATGCTGCGGTTTTTCCCTTATCAAAAAACGTCGTCTTTGTATCTCTGTCGTGACGTATATTTTAAAATATTACTTAGAGAATTTGCATTTAATTCTTAGTTAGTTTTATACAAGGACTAAACAATGAAGGTTTGTGTATCAGTTATCTATTTTTATGTGATTCTAGGATTAATCGTAAGTAGTAGTTTTTATTTTATGTTTTATATTTAAATTAATTTTTTTTTTAAATATACAAGATGGTTCTTCAACCAGTTTATGTAACAAAAAATAATAAAACATTTTTTTTATTATGAAATAATTAATAATATATTTGATGTCCGAAATTATGTATTCCCTTTATACATTTCTCTTTAAGTTTCTACCATGGGTTACACTAAGATCAATCTCCTTAAGAAACGTATAGAAATATTTAAAAAAATTTAAGAACATCGTTATTTCTGTACTGTCTTTGCTGGTAACTTTAACATGGTTAATTTTGGAGCAAAATCGTAATAAAATAAAATGGCAATCATTGAATTTTCTATAGGATAAAACTAAATAACAATGTTTTAATTTATTACCTACTACTACTACTTGTCGGTCTATAATGTTCTCCGCCATTTTCCATTTTTCAATCGCCACTTAGTCCCGTTGTTCCATGACCCTCTCTCTCAGTTCATAATAATTTATTCCTTCGCTCCACCTTTTTCTTGGTCTACCTCCTTTTAACTTTCCTTCTGGTTGCCATTTTACTATTTTTTTGGTATTCGTTGTTTATCTATTCTTTGTATGTGTCCGAACCAGATAAGTTGTTTTGTTGTTAGGTCATCTGTTCGTTTGATTCCGATTATTTCTCGAATGCATTCGTTGGCAAAACTTTCTCTTCTAGACCTTCCTGCGGCTTTTCTCCAAAAATCCATTTCCGTCACTTTCAGCATTGCCAGTGTTCTTTCTTTTTTTATACTTCTCAGCTATAGCTGTATAGTATCCTCTTTTATAATATCCTCTTTTATAATATCCTCTTTTTATTTTATTTGCTGAAGGATTGGTTTTATAAAATGCTGTTTAACATTGTGGTGGCTTTTCTCCCTGACGTATTTTTCTCTTTTATGGCTTTGTCTAATGTTCCATCTTGTGAAATAGTGATACCTAGATCACTAGTCTAATATGAGATCTTTTTGTTCTACTTCAATGCATAGCTATTCGGTTTTCTTTTTATTTTCTTCTAGACCCCATATATCATACTGTTTAATTAATTTTTGTGCTATGTAGTATAAATCGTCATAATATTGTGCCAATATTATATGATCGTCTGCAAAGATGAGCGTGTATACCATAGTGTTGGTGAGCGGTATCGCCATTGTCCTGCATTTTTGTTTCTTTTTTTAAAGCACTTCCGAGGTATATTTTAAATAAAGTGGAGGACAGACAACATCCTTGCTTTAATCCTTTTGATGTTATAAATCCTGGTGGTATTTGTACCCCTACTTCTATTTTTGTTATTGGTTGGTTGTTGAATATTTGACGGCTTTTATTAATTCTATATTAATCACGTGCTTTCCTTTGATTGCCACAGCTTCTTTAGTGAAACGCTGTCGTAGACTTTTCGTATGTCGACAAACAACATATGAATCTCTTAATTTCGTGCCATCTTTTTTTTTCTATTTTCTGGGTTAGGGAACAAATGTGGTCAATAGTGGATCGACCCGTACGAAATCCTGCTGGTTCTTTTGCTTTGTAATCTAAGTACGCTGTCTATTCGGTTCTTTAAAACCCTTTTATATATTCAACTCAGAGATCCGGTTACAGCTATTCCTCAGTAATTTTCACAATTATTTTTATCACCCATTTTATGTATAGTACTGAGGTATGATATCTTCCATTCCGTAGGGATTGTGTTTATGCATTCTTAAAATAGTAGTCGAAGACATATCGTACAATATTACTTAATTTATTACCCCTGCTTAAAAAATAACAATTAATACAAAAAAAAGAGGAAACAAATCTTTTCTTATACAAGGTTTTTTTAACGACTTAGTTTACACTTGGGTCCTTCATAGTTCGCCAGTAAATCGTTCTAATATAGTATAACAGCCTAGCAGATTTCAATAAAATCGATTTAATAGATTTCGTATGCGATTTTGCAATCCATTTTTTTTAATTAAATTTTTTTAAATCTTACACAAAAAAACCAGACCATATAGAAGTTTGCCAATTAATTCACTTATAAAAAACCACTTAACCTATTTATACCCTATGAAATTAAAGTCAGATTATGCGGGCAGCATCAGGAATGTTTTAATATAATAAACATATTTTTATGGTCACCGCCCTACAAAGAGTAGGATTGGATGAGAAGGACACTCGGATCATCATAAATTTATACTGGAACCAGCGTGCTTAAGTCAAGGTCGAAGACCAGCTGACCGACCAAGTGAAGATCATACGAGGAGTAAGGCAAGGATGTGTGCTATCGTCGACTCTTTTCAATATATACTCTGAGGAGAATTTTACTGAAGCCCTCACAAACCTAGAGATGGAAATCCGAGTGAACGGTGAATACATCAATAATATCCGCTACGCCGATGACACTGTGTTACTAGCAACCAGCCTAAACGATATGCAGGCCTTAATAGACCGAGTTCGAACTGTGAGCGTAACATATTAAGAGCGTAACACCTTAATATTGAGAAAACTAAATTCATGGTTGTCAGCCGTACAAATTTAGATCCCGGGGCACTAATGGCAGGTAGCGAAGAGATCCAGAGAGTCGACAGATTCACTTACCTCGGAACTACCCTCAACTCACAATGGGACTACGCTCAAGAGATTAGATCCAGAATTAAAATGGCACGATCTACATTTATTAAGTTGAGATCCTTGCTGTGCTGCAGTGATCTCAATTTGGGAACCAAGATGCGGATAGTGAGGTGCTACGTTCTTCCAGTGTTACTATATGGAGTTGAAGCCTGGACACTGACGCAAGCCACTGACAAACGAATCAAAGCCTTCAAGATGTTGATATACAGAAGGATACTAAAAATATCTTATGTGGACCATGTCACAAACGTTGAGGTCCTACAGCGCATGACAAAAGAAAAAGAAGTGCTTAATTTAATTAAACAACGTAAACTTGAGAACCTCGGCCACGTGATGCGGAACGAAGAAAAATATCGAATTCTTCAACTCGTCAAGTATTGCAGGGTCAAGTATTTGGTAGAAGAGGACCGGGACGCCGTCATATCTCGTGGTTGAAAAATCTCCGACAATGGTTTGGGATGACCTCAGCGGAGCTGTTTCGCAGAGCAGTCAACAAAACCATGATAGCCTTGATGATCGCCAACATCCGGACCGGATAAGGCACTGAAGAAGAAGAAACATTTTTTGGCTTATAAACAAATACTCCACAAGATGCTCCATTTAAAAGAAAACAAGTTGAATCAGAAGCAATGGTTTCTGGGAGTACAGTCAACGTTGACCGGCATTTGTGGAAAAGTTATAAACAACACAATAATAATCTTTAAACTAACCATTACCTTTTTCTTTCAGAGCTCTTTCTATATAAAAATTATCATATTTTAAATGTAAAACATATTGCTTCTCCGAAACAACATCGACGCAAGTACACATTACTAAAATGTTAGAAAATTGACTTTTAAAACTATTTTTTCACGAAAGTAAATAAGTGAACGTTTAAGTGAATATGTTTAAAACTGAAATAACTTTTTTATTGGTAAATTTATTCGACTTTTAAATGACACTCTTAGTGTTTTAATAATTTAAACTTTTTGAGTCTAAACAGGTCTCTGAACTTTGCAGACTAACAGTTGCGTCATTGTTCTTCCAATATTTTTAAAATAGTTTCGGAATCGGATTGCCTTGGTATACAATGGTAACATTAACAAAAACTTAAAATAGGTTTAGGTATAAAATTTTATTGTCAGTAAATAATATAAGCTACTTAAAATGATAAAACAATAACCAAAACACTACTCAGAATAACTAAAAAGTAACGTTTGTTTTTTGAAAATCTTTAGAAAATTAACAAAAACTTTCGCAAATCAAAACAAGCCATTGATAAAAGGTTTTTAATATTTGGGAATTATATTACTTGATAATAAATTTTTAGGTTTCTTTTCTTATTTTCAGAGGTCGGAATAATTAAAATGTATGCAAGTATTTTTCTATCATCTACATTTCTTGTTCCTGTCACTCGTCTACTTTTTACGGTTATAGCATAATCCTGATTCCAATTCAACTGTTTGTAGCTGCTTATGTAGAAGATCCTATCACTTTTCTTCTCAAATCTAATCATGTTAATCTCTGATAATTTTATTTGTACGCTGTTTATTTATTTGTAGCATGCGTTTTCAAATCGATGAAGTCATTGCAACTTATACTACTACTTGTTGGTCCATGGCTGTAACTATCTTCTCCAAATACGCTGTTCTCATCATCTGAGAAAAGTTGCTTATCATAGACTGTTCGAGACATTTTGCCCAAAGTGATCTTGGTTGATAAGTGGGTTTCAACAGAATATGATGTACTGGACTGTGTTTCATAATTTTTTGAAATACGTAGATTATCTAAAAGTTCACAAGGCTTATGTAAGGATATACTATTGAAGTATAAACACAAGGAATTCGGATTTCAAGTCTTCTTCTTAGGGTGCCTGTCCATTCCGAACGTTGGCGATTATTCTGGCTATGATAATTTTGTTGGTTGCTATACGAAATAGCTGTGTTGAGGTCTTTCTATACCATGCTCTCAGGTTAGCAAGCCAGGATATTCTTCTTCGTCCTGGGGCTCTTTTTTCTTCAATTTTACCCTGCAAAATGCATTGGAGTAGCTCGTATCTGCCTTGATTTCTCATAATATGTCCCAAGTACGCCAGCTTACGGCTCTTTTTATTGGTTTATACGGATCTTGTTATCCAGTACAAACAAGAAAATATATCATGTTATCATGTGGTCTAATTCTTGTGCTGGCCAGAATAAAAACTTAATCTGATATTTTTTTATCATTATCTTATTTTAAAAAAATATGTTAAGGTTATAGACCATAAGTTTCCGGAAGTAGAACATTCCTGCCGAGATTCTGATAGAGATTTTAGAGTAATCGAGGAATGGCTAAGAAAAATTGAGAATTTGTTCAGTCCAGATCAGTATAAAGACGTTATTCGGGAATCGAGTAAA